GCCGAAACGGTTGGATGTAAGAGAGAGATTCCATCATCAAAATTAATCTAATACTTTTCCTGAAGAGATATAAATTATACTAAAACCAAAAAACACCATTTCTCAAATAAATTTCGATACAAGGTAGCAAGAAATGATGAACAAGTAAGAAGAGATGGCTTATATACTCTCCTTTTCATATGTTTGACCTAACTCCAAATTCATATTTTGGGAAAAAAGGTTTCAACAACTGGAAAAAGTTCACAAAGTAAGTATAAAGGAGACATCTCCATCTCATTTCAGGTGTTATAACAAGTGGATTGAAATAATAATCAAGATAAAAAATGAACAAGCTGTTGATCAAGGTCTTATCCAAAAAACTAACAATAAAACAGAACGGTGGAAAAGCATTCTTAAAAAAATAGCGTCAATGATTTTGTACTAGGCGGACATAATATTGCATTCTGTGGAAGCTCATCAAAGCTATTCACCAAAAATAATAGGAACTTCTTTAGTCTTACCCAATTACATGATCAATTTTGATCCAATTTTGATGGAAATTGAAGATGGAGAAAGACGTTCATAAATGCTAATTGTTAATATTAAAACAAGGTCATTAGCCTCTTAGCTTCACATGTAAAAGAAGCTATTGTGAACGAGGTAAGGTGTCAAAAGTATTTTTTACTTGTTATGGATTGCACTCCAGACCTTGGTCAAAAAGACCAAACTTCTCTAACCGTCTGTCCATAAAGAAAATGAAGCAATAATCATTGTCCAAGATAGCTTTATTGGATATGCAGTGCGTGAAGAGCCGACTGTTAGAGTTTATTCTAACCTAATTGAAGAAATAAAGTATTGTAGGCTAGACCTAAACAACTGTAGAGGTCGAGGCCATGACAACTGGTCTAATACAGCTGCAATTTGAAAAGGTATTCAAGCTCGAATTTCAGCAGAATACCCACAAGCCTCATTTACACCCTTTGTTTGTCACAGCTTGAACGTAATTATATCAGATGGGGCTTAATCATTTGGTGAAGTCTATATTGCATATGTATATACATATTTATCTTTAAAGTAGATTGGTAGGTGGTGTAAGTATTAAAGTATTGGTGGCAGCACAAAAAGTTTATATATGCAACTAATACTAAAGGGTGCTGCAACTATATTTGCCCCAGGCCCCACCAACCTTAGAGATGGCCTTGTATATATATGGGCTGCAGCAAGGGAGGGCAATAATATAAAAAGTATACATACAATACGGAATAACAAAGATATGATTAAAAATATGGTATAAAAACAACACAAATATAGTGTCAATAAGGTATAGTTAGCAATGAATATAAATTCCTTTATTTTAATTATCTGTAGCTTATTTTTTTAAGAATTATTAATTAATAATAGATGTTAATAATATACTATAAATTTAATGTTTTAATAGCGGACTTTGCATTTTACATGGATTTTAAATTTATTAAAATATGTATTTTTTTTAAGTATTTTCATCTAGTTAAATATATGGAATATTTTATAAAAATAAAATAAAAATGAATATTTGAACTTTTTTTAACAATTTAGGTATCAATTACGATTTAAAGTTGTTTTGAATAATTATATCTGCAGCTGATTATTTTTAAAAAAATAAATGTATGTTAGGATTTAATAAAATCATATCGATTAAGTCCATGCAAACTTAAGTCCATGGACTTTAGTTTAAGGAAGAAGTTAAAATTGAAGAAAAAACTTTTACTTTATGCTAATTTCAAACATAAGTAACTTATGCAAATATACAATAATAAAAAATTATTATTATTTCAATTTAAACTCTATACTATAAAATTAAAAAAAAAAATAATCTATACATATGTGCATATAGTTTAAAATTAATACACAAATGAAAAAATTTTGTATTTTTGCAAGAAATTATTCATTGATTTTTAATTGCTCTTGGATACGGTTGACTTTTCTTTCAAGAAAAAATATGAAAACTATATATTTTTAAATAGCCTGGATAATGTTGTTCTTAAAAATAATAATACTAACAAAATTACAGATTTTTTTTTAAATTTTGGACAAGAATTAGAATTTTCAGATAGCTGTGCATTGACATGATTTTCTGCTGCTGTTGTTGATTTTGCTTGATTTGTTTGCATTAATTTTTTCTATTGTTTTTTAGCTTACTTTGCTATTTTTGAGCTGTCAGAATCTTTCAATCTCTCAAGTACCCTAGGTTTATTGAGACACCCCCCTATCAAACATAGTAGATCTACACTTTTTATGTGTGTGTGTGTATGTGTACATTAACATGTTGGATGCAAAACATTTGTTGCGCAGCTGCTGCAAGAAATTAGTCTGATTATAATTGTTTTTCAATTTCCAACTTCTTATTAAATAGCTGGAGTTACTTTAATGTTGAAGTTTGTCTGCAAGCGAGTTAACATTGGAGTTGACTTTGGGGCTATATGGTACAACCAAAAGTCAATATTGAATTACAATAAAAGTTATTTAGTAAGTTAGAATTCAGTAAACTCACCTTACACTGTTTAATTGTAAAATATGCAACAACATTTGTACACTGTACAAACTTTAACAATATTGAATTTCTATACTAATTCAATATATTTAGAATTCACCATATCTAAATTGAAATTTCCAAAAAGTAAAGTTTTCTCTACGGTCCAAATTAAATGTAATTTTGAGACCATAACAAAATAACAAGGAAAAACATACATCATCAAAACATGTCAAAAGACGCTAGTTTATAAGAATGGCTCTTATATTTATATTTCTATACTTTACTATATATTTCTATACTATTTTATTTGTTACAACTTTGTTTAAAACTTTACAGTACATTTTAACATGGACTTTGTTCGCTGTTGTTGATGTTATCGAAGGTTTTGTGAAGTTTATGTATTAACAAATGCTGATGTTGGTGTAGATTCAGAAGGCCATGACTGAAACAGTGTAAACACTGGTGCTGGTAATATTGGCATAGATTTGACTGAAACAGTATAATTACTGGTGCTGGTAGTATTCGCTTTGACTTTTATTAGATTTGAGTAGTTGAGACGATGAAGACATAAGTTTAGTTTTTAACTGCATTAGCAATATGCAATTTTAACTGATAAATTATATCAATTTTAAACTAATAAATTATATTGTCAAATATTTGTGTGCATGTAAAAACATTACCAGAGCTTAAAAATTTTGCCTGCAGTGTACTTTTTTGAGAAATTTCTGAACTTTGTCTCTGTATAAATCTGTTAAAGTAATTTGTGCCAAACTTTTCTGACATGGCAACAAACACCAAGACCTAATGGCTGCAGAAGGTGTGACAAACGAGATGGTTAGCAAATAACAAGATTTTTTTTTTAAATGCAAATAAGTATGAGCTAATAGGTAACAATAGCCATAACTATTGCATCCACTTTTTTATCTAGTTTTTCCCCTATTATTAACTATTGCATCATTTTACTTTAACCTGCTTTATTCTATAATGATTTAAAAAAAAAAAAAATTCCAAAAAAACAAAACAAACAAATAACAAACCAAGTTGTTCAGCTTTTTTCTGTGCAGCTGTCATTGCTTTTAAACTAGCTTGTGCACCTCTACCTTGCTCTTTTAGAGAATCTGTCATTTTATTGCTTTGAAGTAAAGTATTGGAACCTATAATAAAAATTATAAGGAAACAAATATTACTAAGAAAAAATGTAAAATGGTGTATTGTAATTTTTAAATAATGTATTTTATGAACTAAATTATTAGTATATTATTAAAACTTACCAATTCCATTTAACTTGGAAGTCACCAAAGAAGTGGTTGATATTGGAGTAGAAAATGTTGTTGGTGGAAAAGAAGATTTGGTTGTAGACAAAGAATTGTAAATTGTTGACTTCTCATTTGAAAAACCATTTACTATTGCAGCTGTTGAAAGTCGTTCAATGTCACCAAATTTTCTTCCTTAATACAAATATACTTGTGGAACATAAAATAATATAAATTACTTAATATATATTTTAAAAATCTTTAAAATCATAAAAAATTTATTCACTATTTCTACATTTAAATAATCAGATAATCTTGTCCCAACCAGCATAACTTTCTTGTTGTTGTTGCTGCTGTTAATATTATTTAAGAAGACAGATTGTTAAACTTAAAATTGTTAAAACCTATTGTCTGAAGCCAAATTTAATACTTTTTATTGATATACATTTTCACATTTAAAGTTATCTTTTTTTTATATTTCTTAATTTTGAATGTTGACATATTTTTCTTAACATAAAAAAACAAACTCACTTTGGTTGCTTTTAGAATCAATGTTATACAGTAAGTCAAGAGAATTGTCTTCATTGTTAGTTGTTGATCCTAAATATAAAAAAAAAAATTTAATATAGAAACAAAAATATATATAGAAAAACTAAAGTATAAAGAAAAAAGACCAATATCATATAATTGTGTTGATATTTAATTCTAATGTATAATGTTAGAATTAAATTAGAAAAAGAAACAATTCAAAATCTTTTTTATTCAACACATTTTTGAAATGTTAAAACCTGTGATCAAATCATCAAAACAAAATATTACAGGGTTATTAATAATTAATTATATAGCGATTTATTAATAATAATAATATATCCGTTTGTTAACAATTATATATCAATTTATTAGTAATTATATAGCAGTTTATTAAAAATTATATAGCGGGTTGTTTACAATTATATATAATTCATAAAATACCTTTCTTAATTAAAATAAAAACAACCAGTAAAATAAATATAAAAAGTTAAATGTTAAGTTTTATCTAAATTCCTGTCCTATAAAAGCAAGATCAAGATAATGCTTCATATGTTGATAAAACTCCATAAAATCAACATTCTCATTCATATCTGCTATTAACGTATTAATATGTTGAATAATATCTTCTTTAGTTTCTGGATATGGATGTAATTTGTAATATCTGTTCTTTAAACATGTTTTATAGGATGTAACTAGGGAAAATATGGGGGCAGATATTCGTATCTAATACTCTTATCCATGAAAAAATTGAATTTTCAGTCCTGATTTATGGAATCTTATGTTGTCCATGATAAGAACTTTATTTTCAAACAATCTTGCTTCATAGCATTGCTTAAGAAATTCTAAGAAAATTTCAGTGTTGAAAGGTCCTTCAATAACTGAATGTTTTAAGATGGCTCTGACTGATATTAATGCAAGTAGACTGATGTTGCAACTTTTTTTTGCAGGAATAATTGTAAATGTTTTTAGGTGAATATCCAAAATTTGGTCTAGAATATAAATTGAGCCCAGTTTCACCCAAAAATAACATTTGAGAATAGTCAATATTTCTATATTGAACAGAAAAACTTTTTCTCTCACTAATTATTCTTGGTGAACAGCAGAGACCTTTCTTAAACTTTTTCTTGTAATTTCAATTACTTAAGGTAACAAGATATAGATGGTTGGGATATGGTTATTCCATTTTCTTTAAGCTTTCTGACCATTCCACCCTGCATAAGTGAATTGTCGTCTAGAATACATTCAGATAACAACATCATAGCACAAGAATTGGAGCTTTGCTTGGGGCCACTTTTCTGTAGTAGAACAATCGCTAAGATTATTCTTAGTTGATATTGAGCCTGCCATTTCTAACGGTGGATACTCCCAAATCAGTAGCATTAACAATTTAAGCTATACTTTCCCCTCTGTCCATTCTTATTTTTATTTGTTTAATTAATGTAGATGAAATTGGCACTCTTTTTTTCCTTCTTATATTTCTGACAGGTTCACTTTCATTAAAATTATTTTCATGCCATCACACACCTTCCTGACCACTACTGGTCTTATAACACTACTTTACTAATTAAGTAGTGTGACCACGACTGGTCACACTACTTAATTATCATGATCAGATTCAAGGATTTTGAATTTTCAGTTGATTTGATTTTTTAAATTTATAAAAAGTATTTTACAACCCATTCTAAAACTTAGAAAAAAATAATTTTATAAACTATTAAAAAGAAAAAAAAAAAGTTAAGCTACTTAGTTACAAAGAAAAGAAAACAAGCTCCATAGTTACAAAGAAAAGAAAAAAAGCTCCTTAGTTACAAAGAAAAGAAAAAAAGCTACTTAGTTACAAAGAAATAAAGATAAAAAATAAAAACATGCAAACTATTAAAAAATAGATTGTTAATCTAATTAAATAAACAAATTAAATTGTTAAAATAAAAATAATAAAAAGAGTTAAATATACTCTTTTCAAGAATTTCTGTAATTCCAGAACAATCAGCCTCCAGTTCCATTTTAAATCTACCAAGCTCTTGATCAAGCTTTCTCAAGTGTCTATCAACCTGAAAGAAAAAAAAATATTAAGCAAAGATGTTTGAACTTAACATAACAAACTTAAAAAATAGAGAAAAAGTATAACTTCTTCTAAAATTCCTATCGAACGACATGCATAGTCTGGTACAAAATCTGAGCCCATAGCTGTGCCTCTAATTTGGTGAAATAATTGGTTATTGAAGAGGAAATTATTGTTTTTTAAAATAAAATATGTTAATTCTATAATGAAATTGGTAGTAATTCGTTTAGGTATTTGGTTTTTATGTTTTTAAACCAAGAATTTTAATGCTTCTAATTCAAAGTCATGGGGAATTGCGGTCTAAAGGTTGACAATGTCACATGTTATAAAATACTAACATATGACATTGTTGCATGTTAGTATTTAATCTTTTCTCTAAAATTTTCTCAAAAAATCCCAATCATTTTTATATAAGTTTTTTGTTTCCATACAATAGGAGATAGAATTAAGTGCAGAAATTGGCTTAAATATGATGTGGGTAAGTCAATTCCTGCAATAATAGGTGAACCTTTTAGATCGTTTGGTAGTTGCATTTCAATAAGTAGGGAGTTAGATTCTTGTACTTTTTTGATTTTTTCATTACATTTGTGAATTTTGGGAATTACATAAAAATTGCTAGATTTTCATTTAAATTTTGTAATGTAGTCTATATTTCATTTTGTGTTAAGTATTTATGTTTATTAATCATTTTTAAAAGATTTTTGAAAACAAGTCTATGAGAGATGAAGTTTGTTTTTGACAAAGCTAGATGGTCTTGATTGACAAGCTTATTGATGTAATATGTTGAGTCCATCACAATTAAACTCCTTTGTCTGCTTTTTTAATTACAATATCTTCCTTTCAGCTCAAAAAAAACCTTTAATCATAATATTACACTATTATAGAATAAATTTATCACCTATATTCATCATTGTCATAGTGTTTATTTTTTAATTTAAAAATCCTTATGTTTTGTGAATGATTATTGAATTGAGAATTTGTATCAGTAATTGATACTAATTCTAAATTCAATTGCATTAAAAGCCAATATGTATTGTATTAAGTAATTTAAATTTAGCAATTATATACTGCATTGAGTAGCCATTATATCATTATTGCAATAAAATCTAAAACTAAAGAAAAACCACAACACCTAAAGTTTTCACAAACTTGTACAACAACAATATTTTTTAAAAAAAATGAGGGGATGAAGGAAAACATGAGAGGATGAAGAAAAAAATGAGAGGATAAAGGAAAACATACTCGAAATATGTAATAAAACATAAACTGTAAAATGCAGTAAAAAATAAAAAATAAACAAATTTTGTAGTGGTGTAGTGGTAAGAGCGCTCGCTTTGTAAGCAAGAGGTTCGGAGTTCGACTCCCACCATGTCCCTGGAAGTACCGCGCTCAACTTAATTTCTCCGTGCAGCGACCTTGCTTGTCAATGTTCGTGTTCCGGAGTTAAAAAGTTGAGAGAGGGTTGTACCACGATTTACAACAACAAAAAAAAAAATGAGTAGCCTCCTCGACTGTAGTGGCCCCCTCGGGCCTTGGGGAGGTGAATAATTAAAAAAACAAAACAAAAAAAACATTAAAGCTAAAATGACAATAAACACATGCAAAATACTAAAACTGAAAACTAATAAAAAAACAATAAAAAATGTTTGAAATATTTAAATATAGTGTACCTGTTTTTCTACAGGACAAAATTAATTATAAACCAAAATTAATTTCACAAAACACTACAAATAATAATAAAAATAAGACCTTAATATTTTAAAAACATTTTATATCATAAAACACTGCAGGCATTTTTCAAAACACCTTAAAATGCTTATTAAAAAAATAATTATTAGGAGAAACTCCTTGTAAAATGCTTTTTATGAAACTCATAATTTTTATAAATCTTTTCACAATTTTTCAAAAATATTTATTCAATAACGATTGCAGGCATCTAAATTAGCTTATTTTTTTTTTACAAAAAGAAAATTAATAAATTAAAACAAAAGCTATTTCCCTATTTTTTTCCTCCGAAACTTATGTGATGTGTATGTCCCTAATTACTTAGGAAAGTAGTAAGGGACATACATATGCACAGTGGACTTGTGGAAATAGACAAACAACAAATTTATTTCAATAAATAACATTTTTTTGTTTGTTTGTTTGGTCTATTACTTGAAGAAATCTAATTTGATTTTATCATAAATTATGTAGATTACATGAAAGAAATAATTAACAGTAATTATGTAGTAGTAATAAGTAACTACTGTTACTTATATCTACTACATAATTACTGTTACTTATTACTACTACATAATTACTGTTACTTATTACTACTACATAATTATTGTTACTTATTACTACTACATAATTACTGTTACTTATTACTACTACATAATTACTGTTACTTATTACTACTACATAATTACTGTTACTTATTACTACTACATAACTACTGTTACTTTTACTCACTTTTAAATCATTATAGTGTTCCTTAAAAATTGTTTTTAAAAGAGTTTTCTGGAATTGTAAAATTTTTTTCATAAATACTCAATTGGTTATTCCTTTGCGCCATTCACTTACTAATTTTCTCACGCCAGAAGTAAAGCAGGGAAAGCCAAAGAAATATACATATTGTGCATACTTAATAAATATCAAATTCAGGGGAGCTCATGGTACCTGTTTTTAGCAACTATTTACATATGTAAATTTTATTTATTTTGAGATCAATTTTACAGAAATTCTTTTTAAAAATTATTATGAATTATGATTAATTATATTTATTTGAAATCATACAAATATATAAACTATTATATTTTTTGTAATTAAATAAATAATTATTTAATTTGTGAAGTGAAATATTTGATTTTAAATGTCTGAAGTGATATTAAATTTTAATTTTTTTTATTAATTTAATGGATGATGACATCTAAACTAATTAATTATTATTTAAAGTGTGTGAAAATTATTCATCTATATTATTTAACCAGTAATGTGTTAAATAATATAAATAAATAATCAAGGAATTAGTGACCTGGGCAATTATATATTAGATTATGTAATTTTGTTTTAAATATGATTGTTGACTAAATAATATTACAATATTATCTAATACAATGATATAATAATATTTAAAATTATTTAATACAATTTAATACAATTATTTAATAATATTATAATACAAATAGTCAGATCTCAAAGTTCATCATTTTTAACCCTGGATTACTAAAATAGATTTTTGAAAGCTGTTATTTTGAATATTTATTTTCTAAACTCTCTTTATTTTCCTTTATAGTGTTTTTTCTCTATAATTTGTGGTATTTGGTGATTTTTTGAGTCTGAAAATGAAACAATTTACCAAATCATAAATTTGTGATGCCATAGAAACTTTTTCATCTGCATCATCAAGGGCTTGTTTGTAACAATTATGGATATTTTCGTATTCTTTTTCAATCTCTTCAGGCTTGCTTTTACGTGCGTCTGTAAAAAACTTACGAACACGTGTATCCATGGTATCTATAGTATCTATAATTAAAGTAAAAAAATAACAATGTTACATTTTAAAAATTTTTATTAAAAAATTAGAATTTATAAAAAGTAATATTTTACTCTGCACTTTCAAATCTAGTTCTCTCATTTCTGTAAAACGATCTCTTAGATCTTGCGGCAGCTGCTCTATTACTATTAAAAAAATTATCAATTTAAACACAAATAATTTTAAATTTAAAAAAATGTTTCAATAAAACAATCTTGCTTATAAAATATCCAAAGTTCATAGACTTCAATTTAACTTTTGAAATTTTTATATAATTTCAATTTTAATTTTCAAATTCAATTTTTTGAAACTTTTATATAATCTTGCTTTGCAATTAAAGGAGAAGCTTTGACTGAAACTGAAACAGTGAAAAAAGCTCAAACAATTAATAATTAAAAAAAAAATTTTTTTAAAGGCTACAAAAGGTATGCAGACAATGCAAACCTACCAAATAAGCAGAAATATCTATTTCAATGAAGAAAATGCATATTCAATGATTTAATGGTTAAAACATTTGAGTCAATTTAATATATTGATTTTTGTTACAATATCATTTTTTTTTCTGCATTAAAAAGACTTGGTTGTTATAATATCAATTTTTTTCTGCATTAAAAAGACTTGGCTGTTATAATATCAACATTTTTCTGCATTAAAAAGACTTGGTTGTTATAATATCAACGTTTTTCTGCATTAAAAAGACTTGGTTATTGTAATTTTTAGTAATAGATAGATCTATTTTTCTTTTTATTAGCTTTCATATATAAATTGTTTTTCTCTTTCATTTTTATTATTTGATTATAAAAAAAAATTCTATGAAAAAATATGTTTTCCATCAAAAACAAATTAAACTTTCTGAATGTTTAGATCACTAAATTAGGCAATTAAAAATTCTGAAAGTGAAAACTTTTTAGAAATTTTTTTTTTTAATTGCTAACAAAAAATATCACATTTTTCTGGGGGTTCCAAAAGTAAGTCTTATTCTTAGAGGTTTCAAAATAAGTCTAAAACCTCCAAATTGTAATAACACTTATAAAGATATAGTTATATAGTCAGGAGAGTACAATAATGTAAAGAAACAATTAAACAAATAATTTTCTTGAATAATCTCAAAACCATATGTCAGCCATAAATTTTAAAATATTAAGCTAACCTATTAAACATTCTAGCTGACTGATTCAATTTTGGTTTAATGACAATTGTTTCTGAAGTCAATAGATGAGACATGCATATATAGTGTATATATATATATATATATATATATATATATATATATATATATATATATATATATATATATATATATATATATATATATATATATATATATATATATATATATGTATATATATATATATATATATATATATATGTATATATATATATATATATATATATATATATATATATACACTATATATAGTGTATATATATATATATATATATATATATATATATATATATATATATATATATATATATATATATATATATATATATATATACACTATATATGTCTCATCTATTGACTTCAGAAACAATTGCCATAAAACCAAAATTGAATCAATCAGCTAGAACATTTGTTGTTTTGTATCCAATACAATTATAACAATTTGGTAGAAATTTAGAAGTGGTAAAAAGTGTACAAAGTGTTTTCAGTTTTTGTGACCATGAAAATACTCATTTTGAAAATTTTACTCTCTCTAAAAACATAAAATGAAAAGCTAGAAAATCGAGTTATTGCTTTTTTTATTAAAACAATATTTTACAATAACATAAGAAAAGAAAATTAAAATTGTTAATGTTGTATAATAATGTAAAAATTAATTAACTTCAAAAATATTTTTTAAAAAAATTATTGAAATGTGTTCTCTGAATTTATTATATATATATATATATATATATATATATATATATATATATATATATATATATATATATATATATATATATATATATATATATATATATATATATATATATATATATATATATATATATATATATATATATATATATATATATACATTTATCTTTAAATTAGGAAATCTAGCATGACTGTCATCTACATATTGAAGAAAAGATTTTCTTTTCTTTGATATGTAGACAACAGTCATGCTAGATTTCCTAATTTACAACAAGCAAAACAATTCTAAAATATACTTAACAAACAACATCCATCATTAAAATATACAATAGAAGATGAAAATGAATTAAAAACACTAAATTTTCTTGATGCCACCATAATTAACAATGCTAATGGTAAATATGATTTTAAAGTTTATAGGAAAGAGGCTATAACCAAAAATTCAGATTAAACCTCATTCAAATCATGATCCGGAAATTTTTAAGTCAATATTCAAAGGTTATATTCATAGAGCTTACAGCATATCTAGCGAGGCATATCTTCAAGAGGAGATTGATTTTTTAAATAATATATTTAGTGAAAATGATTATAACAAAAGTCAACTTCAAATCATTGCTAACCAGGTTAAAATAAAAAGATCTACAGTAAACCTGGAAAACAGTAAACCTGGAATTTATTTAATTGAATGTAATTGCTCCAAAGTTTATGTTGGTGAAACAAAATTACAAAAAAGAACAAGATCTCAACAACACCAAAAATGTTTGATGGAAGATAAGTATTATCAGTCGGCTATAGCTCTTCATAAAAAATACTGTAGAGAAGAAAAAAATTGGGATAAAGTTAAAACACTTAAAGAAGAAGACAATAAATTTGATAGGAAAGTTTGTGAAGCATTAGAGATTCAAAAACATCAATACTCTCCAATTTATGGTGGAATAAATTTAGATAATGGACAATACGTTAAAACTAAATTCTGGACTCCATTTTTTGCATTCTTGCGTCTAAGAAGCCGTTCTAACGCTGACGTCAAAGTTTAATATATATATCTATATTTAATTTTTTTTTTTGGAACATTTGTGCTTTTTAAAAAGCATTGCAGAATATTATGCAACTAATTTTTTTTAAATGACATTGTGTTTTTTATTTTAGTTACAACGATAATTATACTTTCGTAAAAAAAATTATACTTTTGTGAGAGCCGTAAATTGCTCCCGTAAACCGTTTTAGGGGAGTGTGGGCAAGAGGCAGGGAACTCAGAACCACTCATTTATGAAGTGAGCGCTCTACCACTACACCACTACCGCATGATAATTTTTTTTTAAGAGTTTAGATAAATATCTATATTTTTGATTAAAAAAGTATGGTTTTTTTCTTTCTTTTCAAAAAACAGTATAAATTACATTTTAAATCGGCTAAAAACGTTTATTATGTGACGCGGCATTGTTTTTATAACCTTTTTAACAATTAAATTCAAACTTTGTTGTTTAGACTCATAATATATTTTGCAAATCTATATATTCAAAATAAGAATAGAATTACTCATTTTGTGTATGTTTAATGTTTAAACAAAAGAATATGTTCTTAACTTATAAGTACAATATTTGTAATTTTATAAGAAGCAACATGAAACACAAATTAAGATATACTGTTGTATATATCGTTTAACAAGTGAAATTATACAAAACTATACAAAATTTAGCAAATATTTAAATAATATATTAAGTATTTTTCCAGCTTTTATAATATTTACAAATATATTCTTGGTTATTTAGATTAATGATAATGATAAATACTAAACTTGCAAGAAATATGTATAAAGGAAACGAAAAGTGCGAGTTTGAAAACAAATATAAGTTAAGATCTAATAAAAAAAAGAAATTGTTTATTATTAAAGCAGCTAAACCAGAAGTTACAGGTAATTTCTAGTTTATAAGAAACTTGAAAAATTGAATGTATATTATATATTTAAGATAGAGAGTGATCTAAATTATCTCAATAAAATATAATTAACAAAAACAATTATGCATTTAGATATTCAACTTCCAACAGGCATGAATATTCTACAATATCTAGCATACCTGCAATCTATACTGCCTAAAACAACCAAAAAAATCAACTTGGTTTGATGGAAAAACTCTTTATGAAATTAATACAGGAAAAAAGTTCAAGGTTGACAGGCTGGCAGTTCTTGTGAACATTGAGGATGAGACGCACCTACTAGGTGTTCCTCCTGTAACTTCCTCTTCTGGTAAGGATCAATATACTAGTATTATGAACCTACTAAAGGAATATAATCTTGAATCAAAAGTAGGAGGTCTTTGTTTTGATACAATTGCAAGCAATAACGGGATCAAAAATGGTTCAATCATAAAGATATCCAACAATTTAAATAAATATCTTTTAAAATTAGCATGCAGGCATTACATAACAGAATTAAGAATGGTGCATTTTTAGAAACTTACAACAATCGAGTTGACTACAGGATCAGAAAACTTATTGTTTCAAAAATTTAAGAGCCTATTTTAATGCGACATCAATTTAACACCCTAATTTTAATGCGACAAATGATCTGTACAAGTTTAACTGGAAGGAGGTGAGTGGTAGTATAAGTGAAAAGGCTGCTGAAGATTGTATAAACTTTTGCAAAACATATATAGAAAGAAAGGGGACAGCAGGAGAAGATAAACGTGAAGACAGAAGAGAGCTGGCTGAATTAAAACTATCCATCAGATGCATCAATTTAGAAATATTTTTTGGCAATTGATGCTGTGCTTGATTCGCTTTACAAGCACACTTGGTACTTAGACTCAAGTATGATTCCACTAGCTCTATTGGATGTGGATTTGTCTTCACATGAAAAACAAAAAATTGCAGCTGCAATTCTTTTATTTAAAATGCTTTGGACTGAACATTTTAAAAATCAAAACAAAACAAAAAAAAAGACATCAGAAATAAGATAGAAAAAAATGCTAGTACTGAGCAAGATCCACCGAGTTTAGCCCTTTTGGTAGATTAGTTTTTTTTACCTTATGTTTAGTTTAAGTGGTTTAACTAAAGACTGGCATACACAGTCTTCCTTTAAAATTTTTGCAAATTATGTCAATAGCCTTATTGTTGTCAATGATCTATTCAGAAAGAGCCGTCGGCATGATGCAGTAATATGTCAATTGTTACAGTAACGAAGTGGGAAAACAGAATAGACTGATATCAATTGACAGAGTTTGCTCTGCTTTCAGAATTTCTGGGAAAAGCTCTACTAGTCTTACAAAAAAAGATTATCTG